TTCATCACCCTCAAGCGCAACTTTGTCAATCCGACACAAAAATTCTAAAATGTAAAATTGAAGAAATCTCGGCCAGCCAAGTGAAAAGTGGCAATTATTTCTCTATATCCAGTAAAATAAGTTATCTCGAATTTTGGTAATTTTTGTTAATTGCAAAACACTCAATTTCTCTGTTCCCTTCCAATATTTCAACCATTAACTAGTATTTTAAGGTGTAATTTTAATAAACATTAAATAAAAGTGTATGATTTCTGCAGGAAAATACATTGATTTTTTTTTAATAAAATCAAAACTTCTAAAATCACAAACATATGTGGTTTTATCGGAAGTTCACAGATGTAACGTGGCAACTTAGCTCGTTTTCATATTTTTCGGTCCGAAATTACAAAATTTTTGTCCATGACGCGCCACGATTTTTGTACAGGTGGGTCAATGTGCCTTGAACACCATATGCATATATGCAAACAAATTATTTGATTTATTTTTTAATTTTAAAAATTTCTATACCTCTAAGAGTTTATAAAAATATATTTATATATATCCACAGATTATTTTAATTTTTTTTCATCCGTAACCAAATCTTCAGTACCATAAAAAGATTCAAACACATCAAAGTACAATCAATGCTATGTCCAAGTTAGTGCTACTCCACTGTACATGTGTATATGAATGTATGCATGTATGCGTGTAAAAAATGCCAATTCCAGTTGGTCTTTAACCCATTTAGCGGACATAGTTTTTTTGGTTTCAGCTGGTTCCAACTGTTAATGAAGCACAATTTTTATGTTTAATCTTTATGAAAGTTACATATATCGTCGAAGAACATGGTTACATGCAGAATTTTAAATTAATTAATATTATTCACCATACAAAATGTACGAGTATTGCTTTATTAAATGCAAACTTATGCGAAAATCTAAATATTTCGCAAACCATGGGGTTAATGGTTTCGCGCACGTGCCAATCTGGTGCCGATTCGCAGAAATTGAATAATTTGTGTTGAAGGCAGCGGCGAGGGGAAGACGAAAGCCGACCAATCGTACATTTGTATGCACATATATATGTTACATACATACATTGCATATCTACATATTTACAAAGGCATGTGTATATATGTACGTACAAATTTATGCGTTTGGCTTTTTGCATGAATAGAAAATTTGATTGCAGAAATAATTTTAATGAAATTAATTTTACAAACACATTTGTACTATATAATATTAAGTAGGGCTGCCAGATTCCCGGTTCTCCCGGACATGTCCCGGTTTTAGACTATTTGTCCCGGTGTCCCGGTCCAACCTTAAAATGTCCCGGGTTTCGTTTAAGTGTCCCGGTTTTCCATTTGATTGCACAAATTTTGCATAAAAATGACTACACTGAGAGATAAAACGCGTTGTAATATTAAGAAAAATTTTATGAATTTACTGGGGGAAATAACGCATAGTAAACATGAATATTTTTTATTTGATTATCATATTAAAATTTTCGTATTTGAAAACAACACGCACACGTGGTGTTGAATCAAACTGAACATTTGAATGCACATTTACATGTCTGGCTGTAGCTGAATGCACGAAGATGCTTGCCACAATTTGCTAATTTCCAGAGCGTCAGGGTTCAAATCCCAGCAGCATGGAATTTAAATATTTTTTAACTTATTTATGAAAAAGCATCCGTTAAGTGCAAAGCGTTTCATTTTTATATTGGCGTATTTCAATTGCATAATTCTATACTAAATACTAAAATTTGTATACTTAAATTTATTACGAGTTGGGTTGGTGCTCTTTCATATGCGATTTTTTTTAATGTAGCACGTTTTGCACAAGCAATAGTAAATGATTAATATAAGTATGTACCTAAATACGTTAAAATGACATGCACAGAGTTTTACAAGTATATTAAGCAAAAGTCAGAAGTTTTGAAACAAGTTCACAGCAACGAAACAAATGACTGATATTTTAATGTTACCTTGTATTTAATTTTTTTTCTTATCGTGAGACCTAGATTACTTATAAGTACCGTGCCGTACAAAATTATTGGCTCGGAGACTCTTTCATCTGATCACAATTTCTAATCAGATCTTTTAGAAAAATTTTGAAAATGTAGCTTTTGAGCCAATTAGTAAAGTGCAAGTCCCAAGTTACCAGAAAATTTCGTTGATTTTTTGCAATTATTTATTTTTGGCTGACAGTGTCTTCCACATACAAAAAAATGTCGAACATAGTTTGTATGGAAGAAACTCTCAATAAAAGCAATACCAAAAATCAACTAAATTTTTATGGGCTGCAAGGCTTCATTTTCAAAATTTTTATAAAAAAGTCTGAATAGAAAGTTGCGAATTTGTATCCAAATTTATTGCATTTTCCCGAGTTTTGCACAAAGCTTAGAAATTTTATTTTTAAGTTTTCTGATGTATTTAGTATAAACTGTATTTTTATAAGGAACAAAAAAGGTACATGCATTGTGAAAAATTCTCTGGGCTTTAGTTGTGATAAATTGTTTTGTTTTGCTGGTGTACGTTGTAATGATCTCATGATCTCATTTTTTATGTTTTTTTTTGTTTGTCAAAATAAAATTTTACTACATCCTTTTGTACGTAATTTTTGTCGAAACGGGAGGGAAGGGAGCGAGAGGCCTCTCCCCCCCTTAAGTGTCCCGGTTTGGCAACAGAGATATCTGGCAGCCCTATATTAAGTGTATTAGTTAATATCGGTATTTCGATAACAAGCCATAATTTGTTAGACACACATACGTACATACACGAGCAATCAAAAGTGATTGCATGGTTCTTTTTTGTATAATACTTACAATGTTTTTCAAGTAAACATTTTTTTGTTATTTTTTTAAAAAAATATGGTTCATGCTTTAATCGAAACCACATAAGTCAAACTTTCCCTCCTTTTGTATCAATTTTGGCGCAATTTTTACCATTTAGATTAGAAAAGTATAATTTACATACATACCTATAGGTTTTAACATATTTTCTGCATAATACTGTCTGCACAATACTGTTGACAACATTTTTCCTGCACACCACTCTGTAAAGTCAATTTGAAATGTTAAATAACCGCGGTGAAAACCCATCGTTGAAACGTTTCAGACTTTCGTTTTTACGATACAAAAATTTGCATCTTCTCATAACTATACGTTCTCTGGCTTTACCCAACAGCTACGACTTATGAACGCGCTTGCAAGCATTGTACGCTTTTGTTTAGATATTGATTTTGCGCATTCAAATGCGACGGCAACACTGCTTTTTGACACTTCCTCAGGCTTTGGACTCGCTTCGTAAACCGTTCTGAATTTAAAAACGCACTGTAACGAATATTTTGCGTAGTTATCACTTTTTTTTTATTAATTTACAAGCATATATGTACATAGATTTTATACCAAAAATCTTTCGTGTTGCAGAAACACCTTTTTCTCATTAAAATATATTTTCCGTCGAAAATTTTTTATATTTTCAAAGAGATTGTACTAATTTAAGACGTTGTAAAAATGCATTTTGTTCATGAATTAAGGCCAGTATGAAGCTCACAAAAGAAGCAAAAGCTTCATATAAAAAGACGTAGAAGAAACGACTAAGAAATTTTCTTGAGTAAATTTCCTTAAGGAAGTACGCAGTTCTTAAGAAATTTTCTACGCTTTATACTGCGGCAAAGCAATCCATGTGTGCAACAGAAATATATGTCCCATCCATTATTTCTTGAGAAAAGAGTGAGACAACAAGCTGTGAGTTATCAAATGTCAAACTTCCTTGGAGACACAAACGAAATAATGGCAATTTCTTTCTTGACCGTTTTCTTAAAAGCTGCATAATGGCCGTAAAACGGAGAACACAACCCAGAACATAAATTGTTTAATATTTGAAAATAAACGTGGTTGCGCAGTTGCTCATTAAATTTTGCTTAAAAGTGCAGTAGATCTACTGCATATGGAGGGGAGTCCGAATGCTGCACTTGCTATGTCATTTCATTTCCACTGCGTTTCACGTCATTCTTCAACAGGGCGTAGTTCGACAAGTGTTTGGATTAGTAATCGTTTATGTTGTGGGTGTTTAATTTTTGTGTTTGTCCTTTTATTTTTACTCGACTTTAAATGTTATTTGTGCTCCCCAACGCTAAGTAGAATTTTAAGTGTTTGTCCAATCTCTGCGCCAACATGTTGAGCGCAAAAACATCAATTTTAGTACGCAGTTATACGTTGTTTATGCTGCTGCTATTTTCTTTAACTGCAACTACAAACCGGGCAATACTTAGTAAATTTTTTATGTAAAATACTTCCAGATAGTTGCCTCTCCATACTCAAATGCAATGTAGTTAAAATATATTAAGGAACCATCATAAAATTAGGACTATTTCTGGATTTTTAACTTTTTGATATTTTCTTCCCCAACTTTGACTATCTCGGGTGAAAAAAAATGTACTGAACTATAACTTTACATTACATAAAAAAATGCTCATTTAATAAAGCTTTCAGAAAGGTGCCACACTTACTGTTTTGAATAGAAAAAAAAGTTATAGCCGCTTTTGTGGGTAAAGGACTGAGACACGCTAGAATGTATTTAATAGATTTAAATTGAATTTGCTCTTGTTACCGTCAAATGACGTGCTAAATAGTACCCGGAATGGGTTCTGCGCAAAAATACTGTGGCCCCTTATCTAATATAGCCTAGGCAAAACTAACATGTGCTAAGATCGGATTTGGCCGGTAACATATATAATACGCGAAGGCATTTTTTGTTCCGCATAAAAGATCTGCACCGTTCGTTCGATTTTTAAAAATGGGGTGCCAAATTAAAGCGCTTGGGCTGTACATGTGCAATAAGGATTTTTTTTTTTTGAAAAGAGTTGCCACCTTTTAAAAACTTATCTAAATTCAAATTATTTACAAAAAATTTTCAATTATTCAAAAAGGGTATTAATCGAAATATTTTTGAAAAGCTTTGTTTTTTAATTTAACTATAGGAGGGTTGCCACCTGTTTAAAAAATAAATTCAATTTCAATTAAGGGAAATAGGTAGGAGAAGTATTTATGTATCACCATATGGGTGCTAAACAAAATGGTTTTAAGAAAGTAATGGTTTGAAAATATTTTGAACAAGGTTGCCACCTGCTTGAAATGCCGAATTTAATTAACTTATATACAAATTATAGGAAACATCAAAATATGAATGTTAAACGAAAGTGTGTTAAGAAATCTTTATTTTCAACGCTAAGACTATTTTTGAGGTGATGGAAAAAGGTTTCCACCTGTTTAAATATTAAAATTTGGGTATCTATCAACGGAAGTATCAAAAGTCTTTATTTCTGAACAATATTTAGTTGGGCTGCCACATGTTTAAAGAATCAAACTCAACTTAATTTATCACTTAATTAAAATATGTATCGCAATGTTAGACAAAGAAGCCTTAAAAAGAGTTTAGCTTGAAAATACTTTTCAAGAGGGCTGCCATCTGTTTGAAAGGTTTAATTTAATTAACTAATGCAAAATTTATGTGAATTATATAAAAACGGGAGTCAAATGAAAGAGTGTTAAGAAATATTTAGTCTGAACATTTGGAACGTATGAGAAGGGCTGCCACAGGTTTAAAAAGTTACATTCAAATTATTCAATAAGTTCGCCGAATTATTAAAGGATGGGTATAAATCGAAATGGGTTTGAAAACTCTTTATTTTTGACCTTTATTTAGGAGGGTTGCGACGTATTTTAACAATCAAATTCAAATTAGTTCATCTGCTATTGAAACGCACGTGTATCACAAAGCCAGGCGAAAGAGATTTAAGAAGATTCTAGTTTGAAATAACTTTTGAAAACGACTTCCACCTATTTGAAAAGTCTAATTTAGTTAACGTTTACACAAGTTTTATGAATTATTTAGATATGGGTGTGAATCGAAAGAAATTTATGAAAGCTTTATTTGGAAAATAGCTTTAATTAGGCTGGCCACCTTTTCGAAAAAAAAAACATATCGATCTACATAAAAGTATAGGTATATGTACATATCTGTACAATACGAGAAGGTATTTTGGGTGATAGTCATTCGATTTTCAGCGTTCTTTTGAATTTCAAAAATGAGAGATCATATTAAAGACCATAAGCTGTAGATGTGCGATAAAGTTTAATTTTTTCACTTAAGATCTTTTTTATCGGTAAATGGTGATTTGAAATTTGATGAGACCAAAACCCTGCACACTGCGAGACCTCTCTTTACTAAAAAACGGCTACACGGATTTGGATGAAATATGGCACTTTGATCGCTTATGAATGTGACTAATATTTGGAATATTTTTTAGGTTTTTAACGTTCAATTTTGGGCGTTTAAATGCCATGCGGGTTCACTAGTAATATCGTATTCTGCGGCTCTAAGAGCATCCTCTACGTACCTACATATCGTCGTTTAAAGTACAAAACTGGGTATCAAGATAATGCAAAACCGCGTATGTGAGGTAGCTTAAATTATTTTCTAGAGGGTAAAAAAGTTCACATTTCAAAATGATTATCTTTTTTATAAAGCAATTGCGTTTCTGGCTAGTATATTTCACGACGAGTGGATAGTGAGCAAATCCAATTTTTGGCAGCAAATGTCAGTTACGCGGTTTTGAACAATGACGAAACGTGGTTTTGTACTTTAAACGACGATATGCATATCAGCTACTCTTCTGCAATCTGCCATATTTTGTTTTGGATTGTTAGAATCAAGAGGCAGATTACTGACTGGTTATCGTTAGGGCATTAACGCACATGCCTATTGACAATTTTTAGAAACCATTTAGAATTTAAATAAACAAATTAATATTCAATAAAATGCACGAATCTATTATAATCAAATTAATGGTGATTTCGTTTATTCCAAAAAAGGTTGCCCTTCCCCGGTGCATTTAGTGTTATTGATGTTACTACACCGTTTGCCTTTATTTTAGAATCGAACACGAAATGAGAAAGGGGCAATTAAAAGGCGACTTTTTTTTAGTAGAAACGAAATCACTATAACATTTTTATACATATTTTACAAGCTTGCTGACATCTTTTCAACCCATAATTTTAACGCTGGGACATTAGTGAAGACAGTTGGGTTGGCTTTGTTCGCACAACCAAAGCCCCAAGACACCAAACCGACCAACGCATTGTTGACCACGAAAGGACTTCCGGCCTGAGCATTGCAACCCTTGGCAAGACCGCACACCATTGAGGGTAAGACTTCATCGTCGGTGTATCTGTATTCGCCAGAAACACAATCCTTAGTATCGATGAAAGTTTCAGGAATATCGACCAGTTCGTTGTTTGCATTCCAACCGGTCACAACGCCAGTGGCACCGGTAGCTGGGTCTTTGGCAGCCAGTGGAATGTAAGTACCCTTTACAGGCTCAGCCAACTTCAGAATGCCAATATCATTTTCCATGGTAGTGAAATCGAACGCCGAATCGTAGCTAGACTTTGCAATTTTTACAATTTTAGCACCGTTATTAAGACTCACAACGAATTGGCTAATATCGTAGAACTCCATACATGTGGCAGCGGTCACAACGGTATCCTCATTGATCAAAGCACCACCGCAGATGCTCGTTCCATCTTCTCGTTGCACTCTGGCGACATAAGGATGTTCCTCAATTGTGGTGGGCACACCACCTTCAATTCCAGCAGCATATGCGCCTGTAGCTGCGATCAACAGCAATAAAGTGCAAGCGAATTGTTTAGCCATTTTTTTAAAGCAAACTTATTTGTGTGATTGGTTAAATCTGTAACTTTAAATTGTTTTCTAGTTGAGTTTTCGAGCGCTTTATATACCCTAATAAGTTCCGATTTTTAATATTAATTTATATAATCATATCGAAGTTATCTTGCGATGAACAATTGACGATAAGAAAGAGACTTATTTTTGTATGAACCAACAAATACGTTTGCACTTACATATCTGTAGGTATGCGAATATATTTATAACATTGAATGTGAACAAAATTATCTAGATGCTTGAGGCATTCATTAAACGCAGTTCCGAGAAAATATTTATAAAGGTGCTTTAACCCTTATGTGGGTTGCAATAGAATCTTTATAACTCTAATTTCATATAAATATGTGAATTTCTTTGCATTACTTACATTGCTGTGAACTTTTACATTCGTGGAAATAGTAGATGCAATTTTTCTATCGTAAATCTATGAATTCTCTCAACATCCTTTTCTTTAACATTGTTATTCGGAAGCCAAGCATTCGATCGAAATGTGTATTGCGTGAGAAAGCGGCCCTTAGCATAATAGTCTGAATCACGGTGGAGAGAATACAGAAGGTGGCGCCGATGGTGATACCGCTAATCGGCTCTCAGTGAATTTGACAGAATTAGCTGTTTAGCTGACGTCACAGTCGAGTTGACAGCAGCAGTGATGTGCTGAGTCAATACTTTTCAAGTATCCAATACTCTCCGTACTCGGTACCGAAACATTTAGGTTTCGAATAAAATCGCACATAGGCCAAAAATATGGAAAAAACCGTTCAGGGTAGACTCGCCTATCAAAACCCGAATGTAGGAGCCAATAGAGCTTTTAATACTGATTCAAATGAAAGATGTAAATATATATGTCGGTTCGACGCCATAATACAGAGAAACTCTTACTTGTTGGAATCATTTTTTTTTAGTTAGCGACAGTGGCGAATTTGGCTTCTATTCTAATATAAAATATTTCCTATAAATTGACACTAGTTATTTTTGAATGCAACGCTGCTCTTCATTTGACAGTTTTCATGAAATTTCAGGAAGACAAACTTCGGACTAGAGCCTGCCACTTCTAATTGAGAGTGAGTATATTTTACTCTCACGAAAGTAGAAAATTTGTCTGCTGGAACGATTTTCGGATTAAATCCTGCAAAACCTGCATATCCTATACGTGTAGTCTTACAAACCCTTTATAAACCCGTTTGTTCGTCACACATAGACAAAAAAATATGTTACGGTAAGAGTGGCTCAAATATCTATGATAGGTTACATATAGGCGACGCATCTAGTCATTGTGGGTCCCACCTTTAAGCTATCGCTGATTATTTTTTTCAATCCCGCCCCCTTCCCTAAATCCTGGCTATGCCACTGACGTGTATATTAAAAGTTAGTATCAATGCATTTATAAAGTTAGAAAAACTTAAACTGAACCAAAAATAAACAAACACCCTCATATAGGTGTTAACGAAAATCGATTGTCGTTATCTTTGAGCACGCCATGGTTCTCGGGAAAGGAAGGAAATCCTAATCAATACCACGCCATTAACAATAAATATAGGTGTTAACGAAAATCGATTGTCGTTATCTTTGAGCACGCCATGGTTCTCGGGAAAGGAAGGAAATCCTAATCAATACCACGCCATTAACAATAAATATAGGTGTTAACGAAAATCAATTGTCGTTATCTTTGAGCACGCCATGGTTCTCGGGAAAGGAAGGAAATCCTAATCAATACCACGCCATTAACAATAAATATATGGATGAAAGATAAAGTTCTAAGTCATAACAGCCTAAGATTTTAATTTCGACACACTCGAATTGATTATCTTGGCTACACATTCAAGTTGGTGATATATTTAGTAATAAATTTTCCGTTAATTAAATTACAAAAACATAAACTGATTTTTTTTTGCGATTATTTTATGTATGGGCGAAAATAAAAGGCATTTGTTCGTACTATAATAGTAATACATATTATGTTGTCTAAGGTCAAATCCAATAATAATTGGTAATGAAAGGTTAATTTGAAACATATCTTTAGCCCGCGCAATTGATTCAAAGTTTATGAATTTGGAAAATTAAGCTTAGGCTGGTAATCAGTGTTGCCGCGAATCTTTTTTAGTGGTATCCAAATTCCTTTAAAAAAGGGCTAAAAAAGAGCTAAAAAAAAGTCGTTGTGGCTAAAATTGGTAGCTAAATTTTTTTTGCTTACATATACATACAAATAAAAGTATACACGCAAACATTTTCAATAGGTAATGGTATAGAAAAACAATGAACTCTGGAAAAAAAGGTAATATTTTATCCAACCAAAAACCTTTTTTTTATAAAAGGGGAAATATACGTAATTGTACCATCAGGCTCGAAGCATATAACTTACAAGCATGTTCCACAAACACGGCTTTGACTCATATAGTGCAAGAAATTTCCGCCAAAATATTTTTTGCTTAGACAATTTAGCTAATTTCACCTCTCACGACACCAGCATGCTGACACTCATAAAATTTTCAAATAGTTTTTGAAGTCGCACCAGCAGCTGGTACAATTACATCACAAGAACATACACGGTCAATCGAATTGATGGGCCATTTAAAAAATTAAGCATATTAAAGGCCGTAAACTTATCTATTTTAAGCTATAGTTAAATCGTAAATAGATAAGTTAAAAGCCCTAACACTTTTACAGTATGTATGTATCAAAACGTAAGGAACATACAATACACATATGTATGTATATGTATCAGTCTTTCTTAGTTTAAATTAAGCAAATATACAACTTTTTCATGCCAAGTATGAATAAATTCTTTTAAGGGCTAAAAAAATGGCTAGGGGCAATTTTAAATTTATGTGGCCAAAAAAAGTATGTCGTAGCTAACTTACGCTAGGCGCACATTGCATCCGATAGGCCGACCGATTTCGGCCAATCAATTTGACCGTCCGAACTGATGCGCACACTTAACCAGATTATTTGCCGACCATATTTGTACACACAAATCCTAGTTTTCATTACAATTTTGTAAGCAGTGAAATATTTTGATACATTTTAATTGACATACTCTAAACATGTGATTTTATATGTAATTGTTTTGTTTTTGCACCCAATAACTTAATTTTTCGCAGTCCATTAAGTACTTTTCACCTGACATCGGACGAGAAAAACAAACATGTTTGAATTTATCGTCACTGGCGGAGGTCAACGGTCGATGTCGGTTCGGTTATCGGTTTATGTGTGAGAGCGTTCATATAATCACAAGTTTATTCATATCGCCCGCATATAGTCGACATCGGCCGAGCACAATTCGGCCGATGCCGGCTGCAGTGTGCGCGTAGCGTTAGGGTTTACACCGGACAATACTGTCATGACAATAGCAATACATGCATACTTTTTTACTAATACATGCATACTTTTCCATTGGAAAAATATTGGCAACTAATACGTATATCTTCATTGTCATGACAGTATTGTCCGGTGTAAACCCTAAGTAAATCTAGCCACCAAAGGGCTAAAACGGCAACACTGATACCTAAACAGAAGCGTTGAGCCAAGGCGAATTTATACAAGGTGGTGTTACTGGTGAATTTAGATTTTCGCCGCGGTACTTCCTAATGTCAAAATGATGTGTTTGTTGTAAACAAGGCGAATTCATATTACAACAAACACATCATTTTGACATTAAGAATTACCGCGGCGAAAATCTGAATTCGCCAGTAACACCACCTTGTATGAATTCGCCTTGCTTTGAGCGATGCGTTTTCTGGCGCCTAGCTAGCTTTTAACAAATATGGACCGCCCAGAACCAAGTCTTGTAAGCAGATTTTAATTCCTTCAGATGTACACTTTAATAGGTTGTTTATATACTTTTCCCGTTATTTCCCTTTTTCTTTAAATATCATATTAAACATAACTAGTCCATAAAAAAAATCCATTGTTGCCAGAGATGTTCCTATTACACCGATTATTTTCGATCAAACTTTATTACGATTAATGAAATCTAATTTAATACTTTTTTAATTTTTACAGTATGGGTAAGGCTTCCTCAAGTGGGCCCCGAATTTACCAAGATTAATATTTTTCAATGATATTCAGGCAGCGCCGAGATTTTTAGTCGAAAAGTACACTGTGTAAATTTTGTTGCAAAATTCCAAATTCTTTTTTATTAATCAAGAATTGAAAATTTTTGCAGTGTTTTGGAAATTTTTATTTTTCTTTGAAAGTGTCCGAATGAAAATTTTTTTTTTTTAGATGCTGATTTAAAAAACATTAAACTATACAATGAAATTATCTGCGTTACAAAAATATTTTTTTTTGCTTTTCAATAGATTTTTTATGAAAAATTTAACATTTAAGCGATTTCTGCGCCTCGTGGAGGAACATTTTTAACAACAACTTACGTAATAAACATTTCTGCATTTATCTATGAAAAAAGATGCGTGCATTTCGAATAAATTTTTATTTGCCAGCGTGCGCGCCCCACTCCCGCGGGCATGCGAAATAAAAGTGGAACAATTGAAACGTGCATTTCTTTCTTGCGCAAGAAGTCAACGCGTATTGCGCGCGATCCAGCCATGAGAGCAGCGCCAACACGCTGGCAAATAAAATTTCATTCCGACCAAACTATGTCGAAATGTACGCATTTTTTTTATATATATATGCAGAAATGTTTATTACAGAAGTTGTTGTTAAAATTTTCGTCCATGAGGCGCAGAAACTGCTTAAATGTTAAATTTTTCATAAAAAAAACTATTGAAAAGCAAAAAAAAAAAATATTAAAAAAAGGGTGTTTCCTGAAAAGTGTCAACCAAGACTAAAAAAATAGAATTTTGCCTAGACAAAGTTTATAGATGCCAATCGATAACTACATATTTTGTCTTTCATTCACTACATGTAAAAATAAAACAATGTAAAACAAATATTTTTTAAAAACAAGCTTTTATTTAACATGTACAATCAAAGGAATAAAATAAAGTAGTGTAACAAAAGATTTTTTAGCATGAAAAATTTGTCAATACTGCACTAAAATTAATAAAATAAAATAAGTTAAGGTCTCGTTAAAGTTATCAAAAG